AAATACACGGCACAGGCCAACAGCAGAGCAACAGAAACAGCAACAGCAAAACCCATTTGATATGCAAAAGTTGTATGTCGCACAACAGCTACAGCGTGACACTGTTCCAGGCTGTCTCATTGGATGGCGACCAGAGTCGAGAGACGTTGGGCTTTGTTTAGAGGCGACTACTAATGCCAATGCAGGCGGCGGCGGCGTCTTGAGCGTAAGCCCAGAGGAGTTAGATAGCGAGAGAAACTAAGAGAGAGTAAGATGGAGAGAAATGGCTAGAGCCACGAGTCAAGTGCTCGACTAATGCATCTGCAGAGCAGCAGCACCAGAGGCATCCATCGTTAGCTTTTTGACATTTATATGAGTTTCTGGCTTGGCCTTAGCCGTTTTTCGGCTTCGGCTTCGGCTTCGGCTTTGATTGCAATTCGCAGTTTTTGTGGCAAGGAAAATTGTCATAAATTACTTTGCATTGCTTGTGCGAGCATTTGTGTGTGTATCTGAAAATCGTAAATCAAATTCCAGAGAAAGAGAACAAGCGAGAGAGAGAGAGAGAGAGGGTGAGAGTGGAGGCCAGAGCGAGCATAACGTCTTTGCCACACTGCGTATGTGTGATATTTCATAAAGCGTGTGTGTCATGAATTCTAATTACCTTTTTGGTCCAAAGAGCAATTGCCATTGCTTTGGTTCGGCTTTCATAAATTTCATTTTTAAATTGCTTTTCAAACTTTTTTTCCACATGGCAAAGCATTTGGCCCCACGCAGGGCATCAAATAATAACAATTGTGTAAAAAATTAGCAGATAATGTGAATAATTAAATTTCAACGGAATTCATAACTAACAGCCATGATAGCCATGTAAATTTAATGCCAAATACATAGCACAGCACACATACAATACACGTATAGTTTAATAAAAATAATAATAGTAATAATAATATCCCTCTTTTATTGAATATTTAAATGCTTCCTTTGTTGCAATGTTGCCGCTCTTTGGCCATGGCTCGTATATGTACGTAGATGGTTTTGGTGGACTGGGACTGCCATTCATTCGGGGCTGCTGCGATTCATTTATGCATTTCCATGTTAACGTCATAGTCTGCGTTATGCAGTTTAGTGTATCAATTACCACAGCATCGCAGCAAAAAAGTGGCATGTAAATAAAATATATGTACATAGCCGTGGCACATGCACCCAGCAAAAGAGATGACGAGATAGCCACACGGACAAGCAGACATTCAGAGGGTGCGGTAATGCACTCCATTCAAGGGCCTCGACTATGGAATACCAGTGAGCCAATTGCACTCCAATGAAGTGGCCTGCCTTCAGCTGTGGGTAGCCATTTATTAATTTTTTTTTTTGTTGATATATGGAAACTGTGCTTACTTGGAGAAATGCTTAGACTCTCAAGAATTTGGTCTAAACTGAATAGTGCAAAAGGATGTAAAGCATCCTTATCCGCAGTGGAATTTAAAGATGTCTAGGCTGTGGCTTTCAGCTATTTTTAGCGTTTTAGGAGAAAGTTGAATAAGCCTAAACATAAGATTCGTAGTAAACTGAACGCCTAACATATTCTATTAAGATGGCATGTCTGAGATCTTGAAATCCACTCTCTCTTCAAGTCAATCGGTGACTACTGAAGCTTCCAGTTCCTCATACCCTTGCTTCCACCCGCAAAATATTCTGGCAGTCAGAAAAAATGCTGCAAATCGTTGGATGAAAATAAATTTTACAATTTTTCCCAAACAAAAACAGGAATGGAATTTCTTTTGCAGCAATGAATAAAAAATGCAAATCTGCCAAATCAAAAATTTATTTGAATTGCAATGCGGTAAGTACAATTGAACGTTGAACGTTGAATGTTGGGGTTCCGGTGGTGGGCGAACGGGTGAATAATTCAAAGTGGGCAATGGCCATGGCCATGATGACATGAAAAATTCATTAAACGCGTCCTAGCCACAAAAAAGGCCAACCACAATGGGTGCGGCAATGGCGAACAGTGCACTGTGCCCGTAAATTGCAAAACGAGGCATTGATGAATGGCAATGGAATTAGAAATCTCGTATATCCAAAACATACTTCAGGCATTCCCCCGCATTCGACTATTGATATTTTACCTAAAATTCTACAGAAATCCTGGCGACGAGCATTCATTAACAGGCTGCGGTTGGGGCACATACGAGTGCAACATGAAGTCGCTCAAATATTTGCACCGCTTGTCGTTCGTTTCATGGCCGGCGGGGCCTTAGTTAATAAATTAGTAAAAATGTTGCTGGTGACAATGTTGTTGGTTGAACGCTTGTCACACGACAGGCGCGACAATGTCCATGATAATAGAATTTTTGCCGCATTTTTGGACATGAGCGAAAGCTGCAATAATAGTAATAATAATAATAACAGCAGCAGCAGCAGCAGCCGCAACTGCAACAACATCTGCAACAGCATAAAGGAAAACTAAAAACAAGAACAAAAATATGGTTGTCATTCCCAAAACTTTAAATACCCTTGAAAACGGATTGTATTCTTTTGATAAAGTGACACGTTTTGTAGAATTTATTTTAATTGTTTAGAATTAAATGTAATACAATCCGAAATACGTAATCTTTTTGCAATACAAAAAAAATCGATTGCAAATCATCAAACCCTATGATAAAGGGTATTTCGTGTTAGACAAGCGCCGACATGAGCAAAGTGTTTGTAAAATATGCCAAAAACTCGAATTGCCTGGTTGTTTCTGCTGGCGTCCACATGCATCCATCGTGCCTCTCCACATGCCATTACACCCCCGAACCCCAACCAACCTGTGGGTGGACTCTAAATATTTTCCCACAAGCACAACCAACACAAATGCAGGTACACACATCGCGCTGTGTAGCTCTATATAACATATAGGACGGACCCAATATGAAGTATGTTTGTGGAGCAGGGGGGAGGAAGCCAGCGACCGATGGGAACGACCGACGCACGCCATTGTTGAGGCGGCCGCCATCGCTTTTGACGTTGCAATAAATTTCAACGTTTATTTATTATTGCGCCGCACGTCACTGATAATTAAAAATAAATCAATTTTTAATGGCCGCCCGCTTCCTCTCACGAAACGTAGGCTCATAACGCGGTTCTTCTGGATGAGTGGACATGTTGCCGGTGGGTTTTTCGGGATTTCGCACAAAAAGCAATTAGCACACGTTTAGAATGGGTGGAAAAGTTTAATAAGGTTTTACCGAAAGGTAAATCAATGCGTGTGAGAGGGATTCGATGGGATGCGAGGCACGTAAAGTGTTGTTGCTGTTCCTACGTCAAAAGCGGCTGGCAGACACGCTTTTAAGCAAATCAGTTTGTGATTGAGAGACAATACTTCATCAGGAGGTGCCTTATGCACACACAGACACACACATGACGTACCCCAAATGGGCAACAATAAGCCTCAACTTGACTAAGCACAATGCAGGAGTCAGAGTCAGAGCCCAATGAAGAGTGAAAAAAAGGCATAGACAAAATTGTGCGAAACAGAAAAATGTTTATGCGTCACGTTGTTGCAATCATTAGACGAAGGATCGGCGTAGGAGCGTGTGTTTGGAATCAACAAACGCCAGGCATCAATATGGCCAACAATTGTCTTGGCCAATTGTCTCGCAATCTCTCTACGTGGCTCAGACAGCTCCCTGGTTGCCACTTTTCGGATGGAATGGATGGTGTGTTGGATGGATGGGGATGGGAATGGGAATGGAAATGGTTGCTGTTGCTGTGTAATGAACTCTGTCATGGCTTGATTGAAGGTCATCCTTCTGCCGCTTTAATTATGCAGTGAACTCTTTGCCGTTTATTTGAATGTCTGCACTCTTTTATGGGCATCACCCACCACATTCGCCGTAAATCTAATAACATAAGCTCGACACGCAGTCAGAGATGGAGATGAAAATGGAGACAGGGGGCTCACTCTTACTCTCCCCCTCTCTCACTCTTGTTATTTATCTGCATGCATAAATATCTGGGACGAAGTCCTGACCACAGTTGACTTGGTAACCGCAGAAAATGGCATAAAAGTCAACATGTTGAACCGGCAGCTGTAGGAGAAATATATAGCTTCAGATGTTATGCGTGTGTGCCTCTACTCTGCTGTGCTGTATGCGACTTTTCATATCTGGCTTCGAGGCTATAAAGTATAAATTACGGCAAATGTGTTACGCAGCGGCAACAGAGCCAGAGACAGAGCCATAGCATGGCAGGGGCCGTTCCCACTGCCACACGCACAACTAACTAACAACTATTAAGCCTCTGTCTGGTTCTGCCACTGTGCCGCAGCACAGTTCCTATCTCTGACTCTGGCTCCGACTTCATCTCCGTGTGAAATACAGCCCAAAGACAGGCAGACGCGGCACAGTAATCAACATGCGTGGCACTGAGCACATTTTACACATACGCTATGCCATTTTTCCGGTGATTAAGTGTTGATAAGTCTATAAATTAACTTGACTACACGCCAGACAATGGCCACCAAGCCGACAGTGCTGCATGTGTCGTGGGGTGCCCACGCCCGTGACCCCCCTGTGGCATGTGGAACACAATACACGTATGCGTGTTATGTATACACCGAACGCATACAGTTTCATATATTAATCATTCTGCAAAGACACCAACATCTGTGTGGGTCAAAGGAAGAGCTGTTACGATGGTCAAATGCGTAAAACTGTTGCCTACTTAATGTGTAAATTCAAGTCCCTGTTGAAAGCGTATTGCCAGTGATTACGCTTTTACGAATACGCGAAATCAATCCATAAAGCAATGTAAATAATAGTCCTTATGATAATTGACTACTGTGCGTCGATTGCGTGGGAAGAGTTACACATTTGTCATCGAAAAGCATCGAACTTGTAAGGCACAGCTGCAAAGGTTGCATGCAACGCACCACCCAGTTTTGTGGTATAAATAAAGACATTTTGGCTTGTCGACTCTCAGTTTTACATAGGTCCGGTAACAGCTAGACGCAGAGATAAGCGAAAATTCGAAACGCAATGTTTAACTTGTTGAGAAAATTAGTTGCGCCCAAGCATAAGTCCTCGACGGCGGCCTTCGAGTATTTGGAGCGCGACATGATCTTCATGGGATGGAAAGCTCCAAAAGGTCAATGGACACCCGCCAGAGTAGTACTAGCGATTTTCATCATTGCTTCGTCCGCTGTCTATTTTCCAACTGGAGTCTTTATCACGTTTTTCGTGGATCTGAAAACTCTTTCAGCGACTGAAACAATGACAGTGCTGCAGGTCGCACTCAATACGATGGGATTTCCTTTGAAGTTATTCATCCTCAGACTCAATTTGTGGCGCAAGTTTTACAAGATCAAGGAGCTCCTTGACCGCATGGACGAGCGTTGCATTGCCTTATCGGAGCGCAACAAGGTTCATCGCTGGGTGACTCGATGCAACATGGCATATCTCAGCTACCAGTTTGTCTTCACATCCTACACAATTTCGACTTTTTTCATTGCAATCTCCTCGGGAGTGGTGCCATGGAACATCTATAATCCATTCATTGATTCGCAGAAGAACACGATGAACCTTTGGATAGCTTCATTTGTGGAGCTGATTCCACTCATATTTATAGCCATCCAAACCTGGATGGTTGATGGGTTCCCCCTACTGCTTGGTCTCGTCCTACGAGCTCACATAAAGCTCCTCAAACAGAGGGTCGACAACCTGTGCTCAGATCCCAGTAAGAGTGATGATGAAAACCATGAGGATCTGGTGAAGTGCATCGAGGATCACAATCTTATTCTGGAGTATAATTGAAATGCATTTTAATAATTGTATTATTGTGTGGTGATATTATGAATTTTCCTATAGATACGCCGCGCTCATACGTCCTTTTATTGAGCCTATCATTTTTGTTCAGTTCCTGCTGGTCGGCCTGATCCTGGGTATATCCCTGATCAACCTTTTGTACTTTGCCGATGCCTGGGCAAAATTGCCTATAGGGGCGTATATAATCCTTCAGATTTGCCAGACTTTTCCCTTCTGCTGCACGTGTGACCTCATCAGAGAGGACTGTGAGATCTTGGCCGTGGCCATATTTCACTCCAGCTGGAATAACTCGAATCGCAGATATAAAGCCTCGCAGTTGTACTTCCTGCAGAATGCTCAGAGAACCATCACTTTCACCGCCGGATCTATATTCTCCATAGGCTTAAGCACAAATTTAAGGGTAAGCAAGTTAGATGCCTTAAAGACTTTCGTCTCTGATTGTGTCTCGATTTCCCTTGCAGGTTGCCAAACTGGCTTTTTCAGTGGTGACATTTGTGAATCAATTGGGATTGGCATAAGGATGAGCAAGTCAAAACTACGAAAATGTGAAACACAAATTGAAACTATATAAAATATCTGCAATTCATAAACAATAGCTAAAATGTACATCACAAACTTATACTATATCAAATATCTGCAATAAATAAACAATATCTAGTTGAGTCACTGAAAGGAAATCTAAATAAAGGTCAAGCAGATGGGAATGTTCGACAAAACAACGCATTGCAAGTAATTATTGAATCAAAAATTCATTAAACAGAACTCACAAGGTTGCACAACCAATGATTCCCTCTATAATAGATTATTGTGCGTAGAATGCGTGGGAAGATTTCCACATTTCTCATCGAAATGAACTCAACGAAAATTTCCAGTTGCATTTAAACATTAAATATTCCGACTTTTCTCAGTGTAAAAGCATATGGTATAAATACAAATGTTTGGGTTTTCCAATTGCAGTTGTTTAATTATCGCAAAGCCAGTGATATCCTCAGTGCCTAAGAGCCCATTTTTCAAAGAGACAAACTCGAGTCCCAAAAATCCACGTTGATTTAAATCCTGAAAACTGTTCCGCACAAGATGGGAACATCTTGCATGAAAGCCAAGTTTAGTCAATCGGATAGCATTCATAACCAATAATTATTTAATTTTCAGGTTGCCTCTGTGAAGCAAATTAACATGTACCAGAAAGGCTAAAGCAGCAAAGGAGTAAGTGGCAAGATGACAAATCAAATATGAAATAGGATACACTTAACATCCGAAAAGGAAGAACCAAATACAAATCACTGTAAGATTCCCCAAAAACTGTGTCTTCGACCCATTTCCATTTTGAGCTTCAATTCCTTCGTTTTGTGTGTGATACCGGTTAAGAAACACAATTATGCAAACAATTGAGTGGTGGAATCGACAAAGTCAATTAACATTCGAGCAAAATTAATTGCTTAAAATACGCATAGAATTGATTTACAAATTCGCCAATGACAGCGTAAACAAGAATTCTGTTTTAATTGCGGTTAAGCCAGGAGCAGAGACTCTTGCCGTCTGCCAGTTTCTCCAGTGTTCCATTTGCCGGCAATACCCAAAGTTCAAAGTCTAGCCGCTGGCGCAAATGTTCTTTGCCTGTCTTTGATGTGGAGCGACGGCTACAAATAACTAACTGCTGCAAGGACCTGATGGTGGCACAGAGAGAGGCACCGCACCGGCACCAGCACCAGCAACAGCAACAGCAAAAGCACCAGCAAGGATGCTGGTAGAACCAACATTTACATAAACTGAAATCAAACTGGAAATAGAGGCCACCACGAATGAAAAGCAAGAGCACTCATACTTAATGTAAATGCAACAAAAAGCCTGCGGAAAATTAATTTGCATTTTTGCCACCCAAAACAACAACCCAACCAACCGCCCCAGCCGGCAACCGACACACGGCAAGCGGCAACAACTGGCATACATTTGCAATCGAGTTTGTACATAGTTTTCCGAAAACACAAGTTTTTACTTGGCCAAAATTCGCTGGGGAAATGCGGGAAACTCTTACCTCACATTTGCCCACGGCAGGAACACACACACATAGAGACGATGTCTCCATTCCAGCAAAAAGCGAGTCCATGAGGGCCAAGAGGACGAACTGTAGACGGGGCACGCGTAGACGCATTAAATCAAATTAAAAGCCCCGCTAAAAGAAGTGACAAAACCCCAGGTAAATCCCATTTTAAATACAAATAGCAGGCGTATGCGCCCTGGGGAGTTTGAGGAAGCAAGACAGAGCCAGAGAAAGATAGAGAGAGACAGAGTCGGAGTATTCGTCTCTGAGTGGTTCTGTGGCACACATTTTTCCAGGAGGCTTAGCGGTGCGGCGTCTGTAATCTTAGTTTAAGTTGATTGTACGGCATCCGAATAGAGGATAGAGGATGTAGCGGCAAAACTGTAGCCAGAACACGATCCACAGTAAAATGCTTTAAATAAAAATTTGTGGGCCCAGGCATTAGAGGCGGGGAAAATGGGTTTATCTGTTTGTTTGTTTGTCGGGAGTCTAAGGGTTTGTCTGGCGCAACACTTTGGGGTCTGGCAACAAGGGGGCCAAGACACTCACTCGGTTTCCTCTGCGTTTTTTGGTCGGGAATTGCTTTTAGCGTAATTGCAAGTGTATTCCCCAAAGGTGGCTCGGCTCGGAGAGCGACTACGCCTTTAGGCCCGTGCGGCGCATGGAGTCAACGTTGTGTTTCGACCATATTTGCACGGTGCGAATTTCAATTAACTCGAGAATATCGGAGCGCATGGCCCCCGGCTTTTGTTTCGTTAGTTTTTATTAGTTTTTAACCTTTTGGCTTTGCACAATGCAAGTGAATGCCTGCCCGCCTGCTTGCCGGACTGCCAGACTGCCGGACTGCCTGCCTGCCGTTGAGCGCAGCTCAATCAATCAGTCAAGCGATCAATCAAAAAATTCAATCACCATCAATTGCAGGTCCGCAAACAGAGAAGGCAGCGGGCGAGCCACACGAAAAAATAACAGCTCAGAGAGTCATTCATTAACTGGAAAACGATTCTGGCCAAAGCCGAAAATTGCAAATCGACAAAACCCAAGCCAAAGCCAGAGCTAAAGCCAAAGGCTCCGAGCACTTCACTTGACTATTCAGCCAAAAACAGTTTTGCCTTCTGTGTACTTTACGATGGCCGATGCAGAACCCCAAACCGACTTCCTGCCCTCCTGGACGATGTTTTTTTAGCATATGATACGACTTTACATGTGTCCGATACACTGTGGAAAATAACGAATAACGAGATACAAAAAACGAAACCAAAGAATGGAAATGTAGAGTACTTAAAGTTTTTGCCCAAGTAGATTTTGGAAACAATGGCAATTTGGTCGACCAATTAAGCAACATTCTAAGTCTAACAAAGTTTATTTGAGGAACAAAAATCGATGTAGATCAATCGATAAAATGTTTAAGAACATTTTTCTACTTTAGAAACAATTAAAAAAAGTAATTTCACTCTCCGCTTGAGGATCCCCACAATATGAATCCGTAAAAAATGCCAATGATTTTTCTCCCAGTGTACCCTTGTAAGTGTTTATGTGTGGCGAGATGTGTGTGTGAAATTGTGTGGCTTGTAAAAATCACTTTTTAAAGCATTTCGGCCTTTGCGACAGATACACGCATTGAAGCGTGGGCACTTTTGCGTTTTGCCAGGCAAAAACCCAACCAGTAGCACAGGAATGATACAGAATGAGGGTGGAGGTATGGCAAGCAGGCTAAGGACCATTCCATGCCACACGATTGAAGGCAGCCAGCCAGCATACTTGTATTTATTTTATTCCAGCTCGTTCTGGCAGTGCATAAAACTGTTTTTAACATGGCTCTGTTGGTTGTTTTCTTTTTGCGCTTCGTTTGGGAGGAGCGGAGCCCTTTTTATGCCAAATGTAAGCGATCTGCACGGAACTGACACAAATACGGACTCTGACAAAGGGTTGGGGAAGGTGTGGCATGAAAGCCGAGTGTTGGACAAGCAGATTTAAACCGTTACGGTTTACCTGCCACTATACAGCACACGCACCCCGTGCCGCCTACATGTACCCATGGATACCTCCATACATACCTATATGTAGGTACATTTATATATATTTAAATAAAACGATTTTGCATCAAGCAGGACAGCGCTGCACTTTGCGCAATCACAGACAAAAACCCGGCCAGTTGGGGCATGCTACAGCATGAGAAAGAGGCAGAACGGAGATGACAGAGGAGAGTGGTGCGTTGTAGCGTGGCATGGTAGGAGAAGGAACCAGCTTCCATTGATTTCACACAGCTTTGGCGAAGAAAAACACATAAAAGCCGTTGCAGTGCAACAGAAAAAAGCTTAACATTATACAACAAAAACATGGGTACGAAGGTTGACAGTCGAATCTTTGCATACCCTTGCACTTGCTGGTGTCACATGATAGTAGTGAAATATTTGAAATATTCATTCAATTTGAACCATATTGAATTTCAATTTCAAAAATTATAAAAAATTTAAGATATATTTTCATAAATTGTTTTCTGTGTTTTGTGTATCCACCAATTTCCTGGCTGTGGCTGTGGAAGAGTCTCCATTGCAAGTCCCTCCTCAAAAGCCAAACACTCTCTGATAGAGTATCCAAAAACGAACCCTTTTTACACACAGCAACACACACAAATGGCAATGCAAATATAAATACGACAACAGGGTGAGCAGAAACGGGGATGCGGTGGACTTGGCAAAAATGTTGTCGTCACGTGGCCGCTGCATAAGCTGAAATGAGTTACATCAAATGCTTTTGGCTTTCACAGGAAATGGCAGCGCAATGCATTTTTATTTACATCTAAGGACACTAGCAGCAGTAGCAGCAGGGGGAAAGCCATTAAGGAATTGCTCGGCAATTGAAATGTCCAAGTCAAATAAACAGCGAGGGGCTGCCAGACATTCATTCCACAGGAGAAAGATAGTAGTATGAGTGGTTCTGTGGCTTGTCAGGCATTTGATTAAAATTAAAAATACTTGGACTCTCGGCAGGCTTTGATGTCTACCACATCATGGGGGATCTAACCCACTCTAACGTTCGTTTCACTCGTATACATCCCCTCTTTAGATGCCTTTCTACACCGTGACATTGATTTATGCGAAGCAGCATAATGAAAGGACCAGAAGGACCAAAGAACGACCAACTGACTGTATCATCTGGCCGGAGGAGGTAAACGATGGCCGGCGTTAAGCGTTCGATTAAGGTAAGCGAAAATAAATTACAAAGTATTACGACTAAATGGTGTTCTGCCAAAAGTGTTCTCTCTTCGCGCGATACGCGTATACGCGCTCCACGCACACACACACACACAAGGCAGTGGCAGGAGTGGGCTTGAAGTGCTGCTGCAACACTCGAGAGTTGCCTCGCGAGCTCGAGGCAGACGGCAATCAATCATCAATTACGATTAAATCCATCAGGAATTATGCGTTAAATTGATGGAAAGTCAGCTGGCAGTTGGCTTGAATTATGGCGTTAAATCAATTTTCGTTGTGTAGTTAAATCAATGGAACTATTCCTACGTCCATTGGCCTCAGCTTTAGCTATGGCATTAGCATTAGCTGCAACCGTCAGTCAAAGTCAGACTGCCAGATGGTAGAGTCAGATCCGGGTAGCTAATGCCAAGGCAGATGCTCTGAACAAACTTTAATCGCCCGCCAAGACACTCACGCTTCCTCTCTCTCTCTCTCTATCTTGTACTCAATGGTTGTGGATCCTGGGCTTCAAGTGACGGCGCAAAACTTTCGCCAGGCCAATAAACCAGGGCCCAGCGACAGCCGAGCGACAAGGCTTCCTGGCTGCTGGTCTCCACTCTATTCGACTCCACTCCACTCGATCCAAGGAGAAGGCAGGACAAGCCGACACTGTGACGCATCGACCTGGACCTGGACCTAGACCCGTCGCTGAATGTTTGCAACGTTCCCCTCTCCATCGCTCTCTACGAGAAATGAAAATATTTTCTTGCATTGCGCTCAGCGAAATTGAAGAAAAAGCTAGAGAAAATTAAAAAGAGGAAAGTAGAGCCTAAGATTTATTACGACTACGGGATGCCTTCTATGGTTTATTGAACAGAAATTCAAGGAAATGAAATATACCTAAAATAAGTCAGAAATGCAAATAAGAAGTGTTTCCTCTGACTCTTTCATACATTTGCAATAGCCTAATAGACCCTCAACATGTACATTTACCGGGGTATCCAAAGCAAATCAACTGAACAGAAGAAAAACTGAAAATCGCAGTGCATCGTCCATCCTGTCCGTCCGTTGTCCTTTCATTCCATTCCGTCTGCCCATCGGCCCATCTGTCTGGGGTGTCTGCGCGTCAATTGACTGCAATAATTCTGGGGGAAAAGCACAAAGTGTAAGGCTGCCGAGCATCCGAGATGCCAAGCTGCCAGGCCAAGTAATTTATTTATCAAGTTTCAAGCTACAGCTTGAAAACTTAATACGCGACCAAATTGAATGCAGTGCACAGCCGAAGGAACACAAAGAACGTCTTAAATTGCATCCGAACATGAAGGACAGTCAGAGTTTGGCCATAACTAAAGCGTAGGAACAAACCAAGTCGATTAAGGCTCGATCATCAATAGAGACACAGAGAGAGAGAGAGGGGGGGAGAGGGGAGCGGACATCGATAGCATTTGAAGGGTGCTTGTCCCTAACCAAATTGCACTTTACCACAAAATTCAATTTTCGCATCCTCTGTGTGGCACTCTGTGCCCCTGCTGTTGCATGCGGCATGGAATCCTGGCTAGTAAGTAGCAATTCATGCGTGAACCTGACAAGGACACGCCACCGCCACCGCCACCACCCCACACACACTCCACAACACCCACAGTTTAAAGAGTGTGTGTGGGGCATGCCACAATCTACCCTGCGTATCCGCTGCTGCTGCTGCTGCTGCTGCTGCTGCTGCTGCTGCTGCTGCTGCTGTTTGCTGCATGCCAGCATAAGCAAATAAAAAAGAGTGAAAAATCGAATGCGTATCCTTTGTGCAAAGCATCGAAATGACATTTATGCAGAAAGACATATGGGCCAGGGGCCTCGGCAAACTTTTCTTTATCGTCGAGCGAGAGCCATGCACACTCCAATCGCAAATATTTGCAGAATGACATAGCACAAGGACCCTCACACACACACACACACGGCAAAAGGGAAAGTGTGGCAACTGTCTATATCTGCCACTCATTGGTGCCCCAATTCCATTTGGAATCCCTTGTCCTCGTTCGCCATTGCCAGGTATTTGTATTGAATGGCACATGGTGAAAGCAGTCTCTAATCGAAGGCAAAATATTCAATATAAATAATTGATGCGCACTTTTGTTGCAACCCTTGCAGCACCCATCCCTACCCATACCCCATTCGTTGCATGCAACAATAAAAACAATGGCGTATGCCAGCTGCTGCATTGGCAAAACAATTTTGCATACGCTCTCTACATATATACATATGTATGCAAACAGACAGGACCTTGTGCCCGCCGCCCACTGATTGATGTCCTTTTTGCTGGCATTGTTCTTGTTGCTTTCGCAAATTGGTTTCCATTGAGCTAGAAATGGGGGCGGCTCTGGCACTGGCTCTGGGGCCGCTTGTCTGTGGCACACTTTCAAGGTTGCGCTTGCTGCCGCATTAAGTGTCCTGTCCACACACGAGGAAAAACGAGCAGCAAAAAAAAGGAGGCTAAAACCCATTGCATACTTATGAGGGCAAAGTGTATAAGTCTCAATTAAAATTTTACGCCCGTTTGCATTTAAAGTGCATGTGCTTTGTGCTCATGTGTGTGTGTGCTAAGAGTGTGGGGCAACCCTGAGTAGGGGAAGCGTATAGGGTTAAGAGAGAAGCAGTGGGGTTAAGAGTGGTTCAAGCTTTAAGAACTCAAGTGTGTGTGTGTGTGTGTGTGTGTAGTGTAGTGCAGTGCATGGGCCATGGGCTCTACTGTTTGGTAGTTAGCCTACAGGCAGCAGCAGCACCACCACCACCACCACCATCATCTGTGCCACTTGCCCCAGCTCTTGTGCAAACTTTTTCCAAACTGCAAGCTGCAGCTGCCACAAAGCCTAGGCTTGTGGGTGTATGTTAGAAAGCTTTTTTGTTGTTGTGTGCCAGCTTTCCACAGTGTGCACAAAAGCGTATATAATGAAACGGAACTTTAAACATAATTGAGTAAGTGCTGCCATGCTGCCAAATTAGACAAAGCATATTTTGTACGGTAGCTTAACCCCTCCGATGCGTTACAATCTCTCCTTTGTGTGTGTCTTAAATGTGGCACATCTCATGGGGGCTCCAAAATTGAAAGGCAATAATGATAATGGGGCATTGTTTGAGGGGTCATTAGGTGCATCTGATGTGAAGGCAATGGTGGGAGATGCTCCATACTCAAGGCCCTGTTAATCTGTTATCTATATTTTATATGCTCCTAATAGCCTTACAGTGCGAATAGCATAAATATTGTATTATTTTTGCAAATTATTGCGCTAACATTCTAATATATTTTCTTTAGATTTCAAATAACTTTTCCTTTCAAAGCTTTGCATATTTGTGTAACCTTTAATCTGTGTGTGCTTCCACATCTAATAATAAAGATTTACTTTCACACAAAATGCTTTGACAGCATCACAAACTATTGTTGCAGCTTGCAACACACCAACACCATGGCTTTTCCATTCCCCACCCACATGTGAAATACATTTTTTTATTATCACTTTTTGGTGTTTTATTTTCTTTAGTTTTGTTTTGGCAAAATAGAAATACAAATATAAAAACAAAATCAACTTGCAAAATATGTTGAATATTTTACAGGGCACACAACAATGGCTATAACTAAAAGGCGCCAAATGAAATATGCAACAAAAGCGAAGAGCGCGTGGCACAGACAAATAAATTGAAAACCAAAAGAAAAAAACAGCAGCAGCAGCAACACATTGAAAGAGTAAGGATTGGGAGTGGGAGTGGGAGTGGTAGTAAAGCAGCGAAAATTGAAAATGGAAAACACAAGCGTAGAGAGAACTTGGTTAACAAATTGCAGCGAATATTAGAAGCGAAGTCTAATGCAGCGGATGCAATGGATGTGCAACGGACAACGGACCCATATTTCTGACAACGAATTAAAAAAAATCCAACTGGATGTGTGTGTGTCTGGCAGTTAAAAGGGAGTTGGAGGACGGAGCAGAAGTAACTGACAGGAGCTGGGACCAACACAATAAACTTCCAGACAGGGGCAGGGACAACAAACTCAACTAGATAGAAAAGGGTAACTTCGAGAGTTGAGGCTTTACTTAACAGTTGTACATACGCATTTTATTTAGCAATTTTGCTTGCAAAGTTCTTTAAAGTATTTTTCATTAAGTACCCCTAGCGACACCCATTAGCACGTCTACAATTTGCCATCTTTAAGATATAGTGATCCATGCAACGCATTTGAAGTCTTTGCACATTTTGAAGAGTACAACAAAATGGCTAAAGAAAACACTCTAGCAACTGGCATCGATTTTCTTCATGGCCGAAAAGAAACAGTTTGATAATGTGCAGCCGCCACAGTGTGTGTGTGTATCTGTGTGTGGATTGGGCGGCAGTGAGCAGTGAAGCATTAGAGCATGGCTGAGGGCCGTGGGATAGAGTCGGACTTGGAGCTTTTCATATTTCCGCTCAAGTCTGCTGCCAGGACAATTTTTAA